AGGAGGAGGAGGAGGAGGAGGGAGGCGGGCTCACAAGGTTCTCCGCGAAGCCGAAGTCGACGCAGAATACTAAGTACAGGGGGTACTTGGTACGGCCAAGTCATTGACACCTAGCAACACGAAGACGCCGAAGACAAAGCACAAGCGGTACGTCATGAGACAAGGTCATTGGCACCTAGGAGCACGAAGATGCCGAAGCCACCGCACAGGGAGTACTTGCTATGAGCTCGCTGCACACACCGAGGAAGGACAGGCAAATCTGCGTGAGCTTGTCGCCATGGGTGGGGGAGTGCCCGTATAGTATGGGAGTGTGAAGGAGGGCGCTGGTTAGGGAAGACCATACATTCCTGTAGCCGCACAGGGTGTGTGGATGGACCTGTGCCAGGGCGGCTGGAGGAGGAGGAGGAGGAGGAGGAGGAGGAGGATGGAGGAGGAGGAGGAGGGGAGGAGGAGGAGGCGGAGGAAGGGAGGAGGAGGAGGAGGAGAGAGAGGAGGAGGGAGGAGAGGAGGCGGAGGAGGGGGAGGAGGAGGAGGAGGAGAGGAGGGAGAGGAGGAGGAGGAGGAGGAGGAGGAGGAGGAGGAGGAGGAGGCCTCTAGCGGAAGGCGGACCGTTCTCCTGCCGCGGTGTGCCTCTTTTGGGGGGCCCCTGCGCTGCCGGGGCCATTTGGTTGCCACGGCCGGCCGCTGATCGAACCTCGGGCCAGGACGAATCTCAAGACGGGCCTGTCCCTCTACAGGGGGAAGATTCAAGCATAGTCAAAGAATAGTCTGCGGACCAGGTTTTGAGTACTTTTTTTGAGAATGTTTGGGAGGTATTTTTTGGGGTATTTGTGAATTTTCGTCGAAAATCCCCCTGTAGGGGGACACGCCCGACTCAAGACGAATCCCAGGAGAGGTCCGGGGACCGGTTCGGATCGGATTCTGGTCGGGGGGGGAGGATGCGGCCTTCAAAGGACGCTCCCGCCTCCGCGAAGAAGAGGACATAGCCTTCCCAGGGGGGCCCAGTCTTGCGTCTCCCCCACCTCTGCGCGCCTCCAGCCATCGGAGTGGATGTGCCATGACCTTGCGCGTTCCTGTCGAACAAATAGCATCACCTCCGTCGAGTCGAGAAGCTAGCCTCTGCCCCCCCCCCCCCCCCACGGAAGTTGGCGGAAGGAATGGACGGCGGATCCGTCTGCGGAAGCCCGGCGGAGGGCGGCGGAGGCAGAGGCAGGTCAGGCCTCCGAGAGTCGCCATGACGCGCCCGATGCATCCTCCAGAGCCGCTGGATCGATGCAGCCTCCCCCGAATCAGCCTCCCCCGAATTGGCCTCTCCCGATCTCAGCGATGATCGACGCATAGCCTTCCCCCCCGAAATGGTCCTCGTCCTGGCTGCGTCTGGCCAGGGGGAAGGGGGCCCTGGGCCGGGGAAACGCAAGGGTCGAGTAGCCCTCGACTCGCTTTTTTGGACGAGCGCGTCCTGGATGCTGAGGGTCCAATGTTCGTGGGATGCCCGCAGCGGGAGTTCGCGGCAGCTTTCAGATTGGGCCTCGTCATTTTCATGATGGCCCCTGTCAGGCCAGCCTGGGCCCCCCAACCCGAGTCTTGCGTCTCCCCGACTGGGGTGCTGCGCCGTCTCCGGCCGCTGCAGTCGGCCCGGATTACTAGGTCGACCCTGCCAGATTCTCCTCCTCCTCTTCCTCCCCCTCCTCCTCCTCCTCCTCCTCCTCCTCCTCCTCCTCGTTTCCTCGTTTCCTCGTTTCCTCCTCCTCGTTTCCTCCTCCTCCTCTTCTTCCTCCTCCTCCTCAAGGGTACCTTTGTGTCCTGTGTCTCGCGACCCGTGCCTCCTGCATTCTTACGGCAATGTGGCCCTCGGAAGGGTCTCCTGTCCTCTCGCGTGTCATGCCCCCCCCCCCGTGGGATCCCCGGGGCCACCACAGGACGACGCGGGATGCTGGTCCTGGGGAGCGGCCCAGGGTACTTACGCTGTCGGGGCGCTGAACAAACGATGATGGGCCAGTCTTCCACCACGACTACCACAGGTAAGACGGGGGACAAGGGAGGATGGGGAGTTCCTCCTCCTCCTCCTCCTCCTCCTCCTCCGCCTCCGCCTCCGCCTCCGCCTCCTCCTCCTCCTCCTGCCTCTCCTACATGTGGTAGCGGTGGTGGAACGTCGGCCCATCAAAAGGAAGCCTTTTCGTTTGGGAGTGGCGCAGTGTTCCTCAGTTGTTTTGCAGTTCGCCTTCTTTCTGAGGTTTTCGAGGGGAGATCGAAGTTTGGCTTGGGGAGAACGGGGGCCTCGTTCCTCATTTTGGGTTCCCTGCCCTGGGTCAACGCCCCGACTGTACAAGTGACTCCCTTTGCCACAGACCGCGCCAGAGAGGTCGACCTTGGCGTACCGATGCGCGAAGTTCTGGAAACGGGCATCTGGAGCTGAATGCGATGTTGCACCGTTTCTCTTGTGCGATCGTTCGGCTTCCATTCGCACATCTGTGATGTCTTGAACTACCGTTAATTTACTCCCGCCATCCTCTGACTCCTCTTGTGTTAGTGTCGGACCTGCTTCAACTACGACTACGTCTCTCTGAGCTCACGGATGCTCATGTTCTGACATGTTCAGTATCCGACTGACGATATTTTAGTGTCGGTAATCATTGCAATCGGAGATCGACCCATCTTGCAAGCCATTGGTTGCCCTCCCTTCCTACAAGTGATGCTCCTTGTGCTGGTGCTCCCGCTTCTTTCTGCAGCTCCCGCCCGGTGCAGCTAACCCTTCCTGCTTCTGTCGGTGCTGCTGCAGCTGCGCAAACGTTTTTCCACCTCTTCCTCCTCCTTCTCCCCCTTTTACTCTTCTTCCTCCCTCATTCTCCTCTTTTTTGTAACCTCCCTCCTCCCTCCCCCGCGGCGGCCGCCGCGGTGGCGCCCGGCGGCCGTCGTGCCCAGGGCTGGCGCAGAGGAGCCAGTCCTCGGCCCTCGGCCCCCTCTCTTCTCCTGGACACACATCCCTCCTCCTCCTCCTCCTCCTCCTCCTCCTCCTCCTCCTCTTCTTGAAGTTCATGCGCCTATGACCGGGCTCCGGCCCGCCCGCGCCGCCCCTTTAAGGGGCCTGCCGGCCCGCCGGCCAGCGGACTCGCGCGCCTCGTCGTCTCGTCGTCCCCTCTCTGCTCCTCCCCCTCGGGAGGAGGAGGAGGTGCCGATGCCGCTGCGGTGGGTCGGCACGCACGAGATGGGTACGGAGAGAAAGGGCACAATGCCCAACAGCAGTTCCTGCTCATTTTGAACAGGGCTCGCTGTCCGCGCCGCCGCGGCTGTGCGAAGGCCGCCTGCCCAACAGCGGCCGCTGTTGGCTCGGGACAACCTTTGTTGTTGGGCATTGTGCCAATTTTTTCCGTACCCATTGCGGGCGTCCAGGGAACTTTTGGATAGCGTGATGCTTCGCCGGTTCTGGTCCACCTCGCCTCGGCGTGGCACGCTATCCACATCCTGGTGCACAGGCGTCCACGTCCTGAGCCGTTTCGCGGAGAGGGGCGACACGCTATCCGTTCGCAGGGCAGCGTTTCGCCGGGGCCGCCGCCGCGAGACGTTGTCCAACAGCTCCCGACCGTAGCCCTACCCCGTTTTCGCCTCTTGGGCCTCGTGGGAGGCCCTCGTCGCCACGGCTAGATTCGCCTCGATAGTCTGGTCAGCACGCATCCCTGGGGAGGTCCGTGGCGTAGCGGTATCGGTACCTTTTGGGTCCCCCACCCCCTGAGGTCCGGGCGTTGACATCTTTTCAAGCATGGCGTTTTCGCAAGGCGGCTCGAATAGTGCCGCAGCAGGATGGGTTTTCGGGCTCCGGTCGTGGCTTCTCACGATGCTGCGTGTTCTTCGCAGCGTCGGATCTCGGGGTCCTCAGGTGCAGAGTCTTCGGGGTGAGTCTTTGGCCCTTCTCGGGGAAGGCTTGGGGGTATTGATGGGAGGGGGTGTGGAAGGGAACGGGGCTGGTAGCGAAGCAGGTATGATGGAGGAGGGGCGAGGGACGAGGGAGCAGACGGGAGGGGGATGATGATGCGGGGGATGGTAGCGGAACGAGGGTGAAGGCGCATCAGCAGGGAGCAGCGGCAACAAGAGGAGGAGGAGGAGGAGGAGGAGGAGGAGGAGGAGGAGGAGGAGGAGGGGGAGGAGGAGGGGGAGGTACAGGAGTACGGGTATGACTTGGAGGAGGAGGCGGAGACACAGTGCGAAGAGGAGAAGGATGATAATGAGACGTGACGATGCAGGCGCACAAGTGTAGGAGCTGGAAGCGATTGCGGGCAAGGCGGAGGCAGGGGAGGCGGATACTGTGAATAATGATGATGAGGAGGAGGGCGAGGAGGAGAGGAAGGGGGTGGCAGGAGGATGATGAGGATGAGAAAGAGGAGGTGGAGGACGGAGAGGGGGGATGGGTGGATGGGAAACCAAGTAGGAGGGGGAGGAAGAGAGAGAGGAAGAGTGGAGGTGTAGGAGGAGGAGGAGACGGAGGAAGGAGAGTGGAGGGGAAGGAAGGGAAGGAGGATGAGGTCGACGAGGAAATGCGTGGAGAAATCGTCGGTGCACTGGTGTCCTGTTTGCCAGCTCCTCCCTCACCTTTCCCACCTCGTTCTGCCCTTCCCTCTTCTCCCGTCCTCCCCATCCCCTCCTTCTCCTCACCCGCCACTTCCTCCCCCTATTCCTGCCACCTCCTCCTCTCCCTCGTCGTCGTCGTCGTCTTCCTTCTCCTCGTCCTCTTTTTCCTCCTCTTCATCTTCTTAGTCACATTCGTCGCCATACTCCGGCTTACTCCTGCTTCTTCTCGCTCTGCTCTTCTCCCCCCCTTCTCCTCGTCCTCCTCTCCCCATCCTGCCACCCCCCCTCCTTCTTCCCCGTCCCCTTAAGCTCCTTCTCCGTAGCCGCTTGGGCCTATATAGACCGATGGCTCGGTTCACGACCCATCGGGCAGCCCATGGTTGAGCGGTAGTCGAGACGCAACGCCATCGGCCCCTCCAATTTGGAGCTCTTGTGCGATGTCGTCTGAGCCTGCGCAGCGCCGTGCGGAAGCACTCAGGGACGCTCGCGTGAAGCTGCACGCGGCTCGAGCGCTCGGCACGATCGAGGCAGACGTGCTGCCGCCCGACGAGGAGGACCAGCTGAGCGCTGCTGGCGGCGGCATGCCGAGCTCCGTCGGCGGAGACAAGGCCTCCAGGAGGAGAGCCGTCTCCCTGAGGCAGCTCTACCGGCCACACGCGGCGGTCGCAGCGCGGCTGAGCGGGGCGCGGCAGGCCACCGACGCAGCCGCGGGCGGCGAGCCCGCGCCCGCGGAGCCCGCGCCCACGCAGCCGCCCAAGGCGGAGGCGTGGGCGGCGCCCGAGCCCGTCGTCCAGGCCGAGGAGCTGCTGGAGCCGGAGCCCGAGAGCCCGCGGCCCGGCGCCGGCCCCGCACAGCTGCGGCCCACGCAGGAGGCCCGCTCGGCGGACTGGCTCTCATAGAGGGTGACGAGGAGGAGGAGGCGGAGGAGGAGGAGGAGGAGGAGGCGGAGGAGGAGGAGGAGGAGGAGGAGGAGGAGGAGGCGGATGATGAGGAGGCGGAGGAGGAGGAGGAGGAGGAGGAGGAGGAGGCGGATGATGAGGAGGCGGAGGAGGAGGAGGAGGACGAGGAGGAGGAGGAAGAGGAGGAGGAGGAGGGCGTGAGGAGGAGGAGCTTTTCACACCGGGCGGTTTCGCCTCAGCTCGGGCCCCCAGGCCCTCTCACAGATCGGTCCGTCTGGAAAGGGTCGCGATCTGTCACGATGTTGCATTTTTCAGGTCGTCGGACCTGAGGGAATATACAAGCGCTGCTGCTCGTCCTGGGAAGCCCTCCTCGGCATTCTGGCCAGAACGCGCTCCAGGAGAGCTCTGTGGAGCAGCGGTGTCGGTGGTACCTTTTTGTCTCCCCAGGCTCCGCGTGGGAGACCGCGTCTACTGGCGCGGCGAGCTCGCGGCTGTGACCGCCCTGGACCACTCGACGCGGCCTCCAGGCTACATCGTGCGCGTCGCGCGCACGGGGGTCCTGCGCTACCTGGCCGGGGAGCTGCGGGAGCCCACGGAGCCGCCGCCAGGCTGCGCGGAGGGCCCCCCCGGAGGTCTGCCTGCCCCAGCAGGCCCCCGCGGCAGGGTGGAGGTGCAGCTGAGGCCCGTCTCCAGCACGGCGGGGCGCGGCCGTCGCGTGCACGGCGCCCCCTCGCCGCCGGCGCCGGCGAAGGCCGAGCTCTCTCCTCCGCGCGGCGCGGCTCCCCGCGCGGGGCACGGCTTCACCTTCGGCCCCGCGGTGGCGCTCGGGCTCCTGCCCAGCCACGCGGCAGGTGCGCACCAGGCGCCCGCGACGCCTCCGCAGCGGCCCGCCGCCGCCGCGCTGGCGCCGATGCCGCCGGCGCCCTCGTACTCGGAGGTGTGGGCGGAGGTGGCCAGGGCGGCCCCGCCCAGCCCCGTCGTCGCGCCCATTGGCGCCGCGCTCGCGTACCAGGACCTCTGCCTCGAGCAGCTGGGCCCCGAGGCCCTGGCGCCCAGCGGGCCCGCTGCGCCGGAGGTCCCCGGCTACGAGCAGCAGGGCCTGGAGGTGGAGCGGCCCGCAGAGGCGCGCGACTACGGGAGGCTGCTGCAGGTGCTGAGGCCAGAGGTCGACGATGCGGGTCTCGTCCCCGGCTCGTCCAGGGCGCAGATGTCGAGCGTGCTCGCCAAGAACGTCGAGCTCCGCGAGGCCATGCAGCGGGACGTGGCGAGGATGCGCAGTGCGGGCCAGCCCGTGCTGGGCTTTGAGGGCACAGATCACGGCTTTCACATGATCGACCTTGAGATATTGGTTCTCAAGGCTCAGGATGGAAAAAGCGCAGACACACACACATAATCGTTGGTTCCCACGAAAATATGGGAAGATCTGGGATGTGGAGGGGGAGACGAAACTCCAGAGCATGCTGCGGAATCCTGGGAGTTGTGTGTGTGTGTGTGGATCTATTTGTGTGTCCTTGGGGCCCCCTCAGAGGCCACTGCGCTGCCGCCAGCGCCGTTCCCGTACACGTCCGACCCCTACGTCCGAGTGAGCGTGGTGGACGGCGACCCCTTCGGGAGGGAGGCCGCCGCCGCCGGGCAGGCGTGGTACTCCGAGCGGGAGCAGTACCACGGCGAGACGCTGGTGCTGCGCGGGACCCAGGACCCGGAGTGGCGCTGCCGCCTCCGGGCGAGGTGCACCGCCAGAATGTGCCCACATCCACCTCTTCTCGTCGGCGAGCCTGGGGGGGGGAAGTTAGGAGGTGACGAGCCTGTTTTCCACCACCACCACCATCAGTTGGAGGGGGGAAGGAGGTGGAGGATTTGGAGGAGGAGGAGGAGGAGGAGGAAGAGGAGGAGGAGGACCTGGTCCCCCACCTACTTATGGTGGTGGCGGTGGAGAACAAGCCCGCCAGCAGGGGCGGGCCATCTCAGCAGGCTCCGAAGCCCCCCGGCCTTCTGAGAAGTATTCTAAGCCTTCCCCGAAGACACAGAGCACCTCTCGGAAGGCGCGGGGGCTTCTGAGGAGTCCCGCCGCCGTCTGAGAAGGCCTTATCCTTCTCACTTCCCATCCCTCGCTCGCCGCCGAGCTTCAGAGTCGTGCCCACGACCCCGCGCCAGTGGAGGTTCCCATGCCCAGACCTCCACCGATGTGCTCTGCTCACTTCTCGATCCGTTTTTGTTGATGGCCTCTGGGGGCCCGGAGCGCGCCCCCCCAGAGGACGAAGCTGAGGAATAGCGCCGGGACTTGGCGATTGCCAACCCCGACCCCAACACTTGGCGATTACCAAGCGGCCCTGGGCGTTTTCTGAGCAACCCTACCCTGTTCGAGTCCTCCCTTGGGTGCGCTTGCCAAATGGCTTCGCTTGTCGGGGTGCTTATTATTCGGGGGTGGACAGAACCCCCACCCTGACACTTCCATTAGTGAATTGTCCGTGTTCGATTCTCGATAGGGCGCCGCGGCCGTCATTTTCCATGCTTGCGCACGCCAGGTTTGGGCCAGAGGTCGTTTTCACTAAACCACGTTTTACTAAAAGGGTTTCTGTCCACCCCGAATTGCGGGGGTGGCTTCTTTGCTCTCCAGCATCGTCGGGGACCTCGGTGGTGCGTGCTCTGGCGGCGTACGAGGGTACGCCCCCGAGAGGGCACCTCGGTGCACTTCCGCGTCTTCGACCGGGACGAGCTCGCCTTCAGTGACGGGGCCGTGGGGCAGTGCGCCGTGCCGCTCGGCGAGGTGCAGCAGGACAGGTGTCAGGAGGGAAAGAAACACACAGACACAATTAATCGTCGACCCCCAGAAAATATGCGAAAATATGGGAAGTGGGGGGGAAGACAAAAACCCAGAAAATATGAGAAAATATGGGGGATATTTTTATTTGTGTGTATCTATTTGTGTGTTTCAATTCCCCTTCAAGGTGGCACGCCCCGCGCGCCGTCGCCCTGCGGCCGATGGACCCGCTGGACCAGCAGCAGACGGCGGCCCTGCGGCCCTCGCGGCTGTTCCTCGCGGTGCAGTGGCACGGCGTGCAGAGCAAGGCGCGGGCTGCCAGTCTGAAGCACATCCCCATCCCTATGTCGGGCGTGTCCCCCTACAGGGGCATTTTCGACGAAAAAATAAAAAAAAATCAACGTATTCCAGAAAGGTTTTTTTTTTTTTTTGTTTTTATAAAAAAAAAAACACAAAAAGTAGTCCCCAGATCATGTTTGGATTATGTTTTGATTATTTTTGGGGTATTTATTTGTTTTTCGTCGAAAACCCCCCTGTAGGGGGACAGGCCCGACTTAACCCTTTCCCTATGTGTGGCACCACCTCACCTCGAGGCCGATCTCAAGGATGCCCTCGGCTTCCGAGGGCCCACGGGGATGGGCGTGGGCAGGGCCGTAATTTCGGGAGTGGGCAGACCTCCCACCCTGACACGTCGATTAGTGAATTGGAATTGGCCGTTTTCGGTTCGCGAGAGGGCGTCGCGGCCGCAATTTTTGCGGGTCCAGGTCCGTCGGTGTCGGTCCCAGGCCGTTTTGACTAAGGGGAGGTGTATTGAAGAGAGGTTTGTCCACCGCCGATGATTGCTCCAGGACGGTCAGTCCCCAGAGAAGGGTCAGCCACGCGCAGATAGAGGAGGAGGAGGAGGAGGAGGAGGAGGAGGAGGAGGAGGAGGAGAGGAGGAGGAGGAGGAGGAGGAGGAGGAGGAGGGGGAGGAGGAGGAAGAGGGCGGAGGCAGAGGAGGAGGAGGAAGGTAGGCTGAGGAGGAAAGGAGGAGGGCAGGAGGAGAGGAGGAGGAGGGAGGAGGAGGGGGGAGGATGGAATAAGGGGGAGGATGGCGGAGGAGGAGGAAGGAGGAGGAGGAGGAGGAGGAGGAGGAGGAGGATGAGGAGGAGGAGGAGGAGGAGGAGGAGGAGAAGGGATCGACTACATGATTGATTTGCCCCAGGCTTAGAAGCACCCCTGCTTCTCAGGAGGCGCGGGCCTTGCCTGCAGATGCAAGGTCGGCACCTGCTCAGAAGCAGCCTCCCTCCGAGAAGCCTTCCCCCCTCCCCCTGCCCCCATGCGCGCGCCGCCAGGATGCCCCCCCCGGGGCCCGCCCGGGGACGGGCTCAGCGGAGTGGCGTCTTGCGCGGCTCAGGAGTGAGACCTCGCCGTTCCCTCGGGGCCTGCGACTTGTGAAGTGGTTGTCACTTTCGTGGTCTCCTGTTGCGCGGGTCGGGTGAGACGTTGCCGTCCTTTCGGGGCCTGCGCAGTGTGAAACTTGTGCCACTGTCGTGGTGAGGAGGAGGATGTGGAGGAGGACGAGGGTGTTACTCGGACACGTCATTTCACCAGTTATCCCTTCTTCATATGTTCCCGGCCCCGTTGTTTTTGTTTCTCAGTCTGGTCGCGGTCGCCTTCGTGCCTGTGATGCCATTCGCAGCAGTGATGCTGTGAACAGGGCACATTTGCCTTTGGCCTGACGTTCTTTGGCGAAGCACTAACGGAAACTGCGGATTCTTCAACGCGTTTTTCTCATGGAGCGTTGCCAGGTGTAATCACCTCATGTGGCCAAAGGGATGGCTATGGGGTAATTTGTTCAGCACGTGCTCCTCGCACCCTGAGGGCCCGTTTGGCATTCCCGTCGCCTGTTTCGGCGGTCCAGGAGTTCAAAAGACGGCCTCCAGATGCCGATGGGCAAAAAACCTCCGTCTTCTCGTTCTGTTTGAAGACGTTGGGGTCTGAGCCTCCACTTTCAAGATCGACCCCCGCACCTCTCCAGGGATGAGTCTCGACCACGATTTCGAGCGGAACCCAGCCGTGGAGACGGTGGCGCTCGAGGAGGCGCCTGAAAATCCCGAAGCGTCCAGATTCCCCAAGCCTCGGCCGCGCAGGCTCTTTCTCGCCCCCCCTCCCGAAAAGTCGGGCCGCACAGAAGGGAAGGGGGGGAACTCGGGGTAACGCTTTCAGGGGACCAGCCCGACGCACCCCCATCGAGGCTGGCCGCCACCCGGTCGTTCATGTCTCCGAGTTTGGCCCCAAGTGTTGGGGGAGTCGGGGACAGGGGTAGGGGAGCAGACAGTGACAGAAACGTAAAAACTCTGAGGTCCGCTCGGATTTCTCGGATCGGCGCTGGACGCCCCTCCCTGGCGCGCTCCGCGTGCCAGGGGCGGCGCCAGAGGCGCCGCCATGGGGCCCCAACGCCGAGTCGAGAAATCCGCGCGGATCTCCGAGTTTTGTATGCGTATGTCGTTGTTCGCCCCCCTACCCCTGTCACCGACCCCGTTGGGCTTTCGAAAGGGCCCCAAATGGGGAGTCAAACTCGGAGATAGCAGGGACGGGGCGGGGGCCAGCCTCGATAGGGGGTGCGTCCGAGTTCTTATGTTTGCAGTGGAAGCCCACGCCGAGAAGCACCCTGCTTGCCTCCGTGGTGCCCGGGGCTTCGTGGGCTTCGATGGTTCTGTTACGGAAGGCGTGACGTTCCACCACGCCAACCATCCACGGACGTCCTGGGGTTTCGGTGCTCGGTTCCTAGTGGAAGGTCTCCTGTGGTCGAGCTACTACTGCGTGTCATTGCTCGTCCCCCGAGGGGTCCACCGCCCCCCCCTGCTGCGTCCGGCCTCTCCCAAGACGCGCCTGACGACAACGACGACGACGACGACGACGACGACCACGACGACGACGGTGACGACGACGACGACGACGACGAAGACGACGGCGACGACGACGACGACGACGACGACGACGACGACGACGACCACGGCGACGGCGACGGCCACGACGACAGCGACGACGACGACGACGGCGGTGACGACAAGGGCGCCCTCGAGGGCGCGAAGCTATTCGCGCTTCGCGGCTCGGCTCCGCTTCCTCCTCCTCCTCCTCTTCTCCCCTGGGAGGCGGCGCGAGAGCGCGAAGCTGTCCGCACTTCGCGCTTCGCGCAGCGCGACGACGACGACGACGACGACGACGACGACGACGACGACGACGACGAGGCCCTCCGACGCCCTCCCCGCCAAGGTGGCGAGCCGACCCGCCGGCTTCGGGGGCGCCCCCCACGCGGCCCCCCGGCGCGAGCGGGGCCCGCCCTCCCCCGCGCGGGGGGCCCACCCCCACCACCCCCCACCCCCCCCCCCCCCCGTCCCGGGCCCCCCCGGCCCCCCCCCGGGGCGGCCCTGGCAGAACGCGTCCCCGCCCCTCCTCCTCCTCCTCCTCCCTCTCCTCTCTCCTCCTCTCCTCCTCCTCCTCCTCCTCCTCCTCCCTCCTCCTCCTCCTCCCCCTCCTCCTCCTCCTCCTCCTCCTCCTCCTCCTCCTCCTCCTTCCTCCTCCTCCTCCTTCTCCTCATCCTTCCTCCTCCCCTCCCGCCTATCCGCCTCCTCCTCCCCCTCCTCCTCCTCCTCCTCCTCCTCCTCCTCCTCCTCCTCGCCTCCTCCTCCTCCTCCTCCTCCTCCTCCTCCATCCTCCTCCTCCTCCCTCCTCCTCCTCCTCCTCCCCCCCCCGCCCCCCCCCCCCTCCTTCCTCCTCCTCCTTCCTCCCCCCCCTCCTCCTCCTCCTCCTCCTGTCCTCCTCCTCCTTCCTCCTCCTCCTCCTCTCCTGCCCTTTCTGCTTCTATCCTCCTCCGTGCTTCCTGGTCTTCGGCTTCTCTCCTCCTCTCTCCTCCTGCCCTTCTGCTTCTCCTCCTCTTCCTCCTCCTTCTTCTCCTTGTCCTCCTCTTCCTCCTTTTCCTCCGTTCCTCCTCCTTCTCCTGTCTAAGGCCTGCCCATTCTTCTGCTTCTCCTCCTCTTCTCTCCTCCTCCTACTCCTCCTCCTCCTCCTCCTCCTCCTCCTCCTTTCGAGCCTTTCGAGCGCAGGTCTGTGCCTCCGCGCGGAGGCGCAGCCGTAGTGCTCCTCCTCCTCCTCCTCCTCCTCCTCCTGAAGAAAGCCTTCTCAGAGATCCAAAGTGTTGAGAAACAAGGGCGCCCTCGAGGGCGCGAGCAAGATCGCGTCCCCGCCTCCCTCCTTTCGGGCTGGACGAAAGGGGGGGAACTGTGGAGAGCTCACACGCTCCGAGTGATTGGGGAGTGTGGAGGCTGCTGGCGGCGGTCCGCCGCCCGCAGGCCTCCCAGGCCGCCCCAGGGTTCTCGAGGGGGCTCCCGGAGGCGCCCGGGGGCGCTCTGGGCCCAGGTGGGAGCGCTTGGGGGGCCCAACGGGCGCAAGGGGCCCCATCTGTTCGGGCCAGACGAAAGGGGAGGATTGGGGAAGGGGGGGTTTACGAAATTTGCTGCATGCAGCTGGTTTAGGCCCCACCGAAGGGCCCATTCCTCGACACACGGTTGCCTCCGGCGCCGGGAGGCGCCGGGAAAATCAGCTACGTGAGCTGATCCTCCATCCCCCCTTTGCTATCCCCCCCTTTCGCCCGACTCGACTCCCTCCTTCCCAGAGATCCAACGTGTTGAGAAACAAGGGCGCCCTCGAGGGCGCGAAGTTATTCGCGCTTCGCGCTTCGCGGCTCGGCTCCGATTCCTCCTCGTCCTCCCCTTCTCCCCTGGGAGGCGGCGCGAGAGCGCGCCCTTCCAGGGGAGAAGAGGATCGAAGGATCTTGGATCTGCGCTGGAACCTGCTTGTCGCGCTCCGGGCGCCTTGGGAGGGCGCGCCCTCGCGCGAGGAGGAGTTGGGGAGGAGCTGGGAGCCCTTGTCCTTCCCAGGGATCCAAAGTGTTGACACAAATCAGGACGGAGGCTTTTCGCAGTTTTCGGCCTCTAGGGGCCCTTGCCGGGCCTCGGGGCCGCCAAAGAACGACTCAGGATGAAAAACCGGTCCTGAGGAATGGGTCGAGGCTTCCGGGGACCCCGTATTGAAAAAATCACGACATCGGATCCCTGGGTTCCCGAGTCGGAGGAAAGGAAAGGCACCCATACCGACACCCTTGCCTCTTCACCTCCCTTTTCTGGGGGGAGGGGGCCTCGGGGGAGGTCCTCGTCGCCGCCGCTGGACTCGCCTCGACATGCGGGCCAGAACGCGCCCAAGGAGAGGTCTGGGGGGGGCAAGCGGTATCGGTACACATTGTTCATCTCTAGTTCTTCGAAAGTTCTTTGATCTCTGTTGGGGGCCAAGGTCCTTTTATCTCTGTTTGTGCTGTCCTGGGCCTCCTCCTGGCCACGAGGGTGGCCAGGAACAGCTAGAAACGAGCACCATTCAAAATGAGCACGATTACAGTCGGGGCCCTGAAGAAGGAACCCTTTTCGTTGGGAAGGGGCTCCGCGTTCCTTAAGTGTTTCACAGCTTGCCTCAGGCTTTCCTCATGTCTTCGACAGGAGATCGAAGGTTCACTTATGGACAAAAAGGGGCCCCGTTCCTCATTTAGGGTTCCTGGGGTCCACGCCCCGACTGTAGGAGTGAACGACGCGTACCTTTTGGTGTCCCCCCCTCTCCTCCCAAGGGGCAGCGTCGGGGGGCGAGGGCGTCGGGCTCGAGGCTCTCGGCGGGCTCGTCGGCCCCCGCCGGCCCTCCGGCCTCGGGGCTTCCCTCCAGCACCTGGCACCGCTCGGACGTGTGCAGTTTTCCCTCGGCGAGGACCATCGAGGAGCACCCTCGATCACTGCGAGAAGAAACCGCGCACGAAACCGACAAAAAGCACAGGAAATGGGCATCCGAGCGATGGCCAGAGCAGCCCGCGCCTCGCCGAGGGCGCTCCGGAGCTGCCCGCCTCCGCCCGGGGCGGCCGCTGCGGGAGCCGAGTTGTGCACCGAGCGCCAGGGGGGCAACGTGCTTTGGTCGGGGGTGGACAGACCTCCTACCCTGACACGTCGTTTCGCGAATTGTCCGTTTTCGGTTCTCGAGAGGGCGCCGCGGCCGTCATTTGTTAGGCTTGCGCCCGCCAGGTTTGGGCCCGAGGTCGTTTTCACTAAACCACGTTTTACCAAAGGGAGGTCTGTCCATCCCCGAGTTGGGGGGACAGGCTCAGGAGGGGAAGAGCCGCGCAGGCACAATTCATCGTCGCTTCCCCCAGAAAAAATAGATGGGAAACTATGGGAAGTGTGGGGGGGGAAGAGACGAACACCCAGAGCATCTGGGAGCAGATGGGGCATCTCTTGTTATCTGTGTGTCTTTCTCTGTGTGTCCTGGGGCCCCTTCATAGGCACGGGGGGGAGTGCATCGATCCCCAGTCGCCCATTCACCGCCGCCGCGTGCCGCGGACGGCCCACCCCGCACGGCAGAGCGTGCGCGCCCGCCCCCGGGGGCCCCTGTCGCGGAGCCAGCAGCCACGCATCCTCCCTCCTCCCTCCTCCCTCCTCCCTCCTCCCTCCTCCCTCCTCCCTCCTCCCTCCTCCCTCCTCCTCCTCTTCCTCCTCCTCCTCCTCCTGCTCCTCCTCCTCCTCCTCCTCCTCCTCCTCCTCCTCCTCCTCCTCCTCGGCGAGAGTCCAGCGAGCCGGGGCCCCTCCGCCGTTGCCATCGCTTCCTGGAGGCGGCACAGCAGGGACTACAGCATCGGGGTTGGATGGACCTCCTACCCTGGCACGTCGATTCAGGAATCGGCCGTTTTCGGTTCGCGAGAGGGCGTCGCGGCCGTCGTTTTTGCGGGTCCAGGCCCGTTGGTTTCGGTTCCAGGCCGTTTGCACTAAGGGGAGGTTTACTAAAGGGAGGTTTGTCCACCGCCGACAGTAGGCTGCCCGGTCCTGGTCAGAGGGCGCCGAGGGACTTCCACGCAGCTGGGAGAGCCTTTTCCTTCCCTTCCTCTTCCTCCTCCTCCTCCTCCTCCTCCTCCTCCTCCTGCTCCTCCTCCTCCTCCTGCTCCTCCTCCCAGTGAAGAGGTAGCCTCACTTGGGCCCCCGTCTTTGGCATCAGGGATCGTAGATCTGGGCGCGCTTGGGGTCCGTGCACCTGCTGAAGAAGACCCCCTTTATCTCAACTGTGTGGGGCCTCTTAGCTCAGGTCCGCTCTCCAAGGGTCGGGGGATCCCTTTTTCCCTCCCTGCACCTCTTCTCCACTCTTTTCCCACCTCCTCCCCCCTCTTCCCTCCCACCTCCTGGCTTCGCAGGCTTCCCCCTGGCCCCCCCCCCGTTCTGTCGGCTGCCGGGTGTTTCCGGCGTGGCCGTTTCCGGCCGACAGTACGTGGGGGGGGGAGCTGTCCAGCTATTCCCATGCTGCCCGCTTGCGGGGGGCCCGCTGGCGCCGTGCGCCACCCGCGCCGTGAGCGCCCCGCGGTCGGCCGCGAGCCCGCGCGCGGGCGCCCGCCGGCCGCGGAGGCGCGCGGCTTTAGTGCTGTGCGCTCCCCCTTTCGAGGGCATTTCAATCAATCCTGGGCGATCCCCCCCTATTCTCCACTGGAGATTTCCCCAGCTGCCTTCTCCATCTTGTTCTGAAGCCATCGCTGACCAAGGCACCAGCGGAGTTTGGGGTGCGCGTCTTGGCGCCAACACTCGGTGTCGCATCGTTGGGCGTTGATATCTGGCACAGCTCATCAGCTAGGGCCCCAACATTCGCATTCAGCATCGCGCATGCTGGGCACCGAATCCCGCAGTATAACTTGCAGGTGTGGTATGGCTTGATTGCGTTGGAGCTGCTTGTTGACTGTTGAGGGCTTCAGCGCGCGCGCTCCTCTTTGTGCGTTCGTCCAAATCTGCCCTCCTTTCCCTCCTCTCTGCGCCCTTCTCCGTCTTCCGTTTCCTTCTGTGGTGCGTTTCTGTCGCATGGCACCGCTGGCGTTGTCCCACAAGTAGCGCTCAAAGAGCGCATCTCGGATGAGCGGGACACCGCATTTTTCTCTTCTGACTCTCTCTGACATTCTTTCTGTGTCCAGTTTCCTCCGTCCTCCTCTTCCGCGTCCTCGATGTCCTTCACCCTCTTTCCCGCGACCTGTCGTGCTGCAGTTCGCGCATTTAGCCCTCATCCCTCTCCCCCGAAGATGCTGTAGTCGCCGGGCGACCTCCAGAGGCCCGAGAAGGGCCAAGCCGTCCGACACGCGTATCTCGATCCTCCGCGTCTTAGTCGTCGTCGTCGTCGTCGCCGTCGTCGTCGTCGTCGTCGCCTTCGTCGTCATCGTCTTCGTCGTCGTCGTCTTTCGTCGACCGCCCTCGACGATGCTCGTTCGCCTCGTTGCGCTCTCTGAGCGCGCCGCCAGGGTGGCGGCAAGGACACGGTTAACGCCCAGGACCGGTTCGCGAAGCGGGACATGGAGGCCTCCACCACGGCCTCTTCGAGTAGGGGATCGATTACAGATTGACGTGCCCCGAAATTGATTTGTTCATCGGATCTACAAACAAGATGTTCAATCTTCGTATACCTACGAAGATTCTGTACACGTGCCATGAATTCGACGAACAGTTTTTCTGGGGCCAGATCAATTCTGTTGTTGATTTTCTGCTCGAGCTCTGGGGCGAGCAGAGGCGAGGGCGAGGACGAGAGGAGGGGAGGAGCAGAGTAGCACCACCGAGCGGAGGATCCGTGGTCGAGGCTTCTGGACGCGCTTGGCCCTCTCTGGCCCTCCAGAGGCCTCCCCAGCGGCTCTGGAAACCTCGCGGAAGGGGGCCTCCGAGGACCTCCGAGGCTCCCGGAAGCCTCAGGAGACCCTCCGGGACCGGTCTTCGGGCCGAAGGGAGGGCGGGGAGGGCGAGCCGGCGATCGGAGGAGGAGCCGATACCCTTACCGCTGCTCGTCCTGGAGGGTCCTCGCCACCACGGCGGGTCACGAGTGTTGCTGCTCGTGTAGCTGCAGTTGTGTAGTTCTCGCTTCGCGTACCTCGTCACCTCGTCTGGCTTCCTTGTGTAGTCCTCGCTTCGGTTCTACACTGGTGCAGTTGCTCATCTGGCCACCTCGCCTCTGTTGCCGCGGCACCATGCAGAGTTACCAGTGAGGGCCACCAGCGGACCTGCGCCCTGAATGTGCAAGCACCCTCTGGGAGCAGGGGACAACAGAAGAAGAGGGATGGCGGAGGACATCGGCCACCACGCGGCAGTCTCGCATTCAGCGCGCGCAAGGGTGTGCGGTTCCAGAGATGTGCTCGACAGCTCCTTAGCTTGCCCACAACTCGATCTCAGTTGAGACACACACACACACACACACGCACACGCACACGCACACACACACACACCACACAACACACAACACACAACACACAACACACAACACACAACACACAACACACAACACACAACACACAACACACAACACACAACACACAACACACAACACACAACACACAACACACAACACACAACACACAACACACAACACACAAAACACACACACAACAACACACAACACACAACACACACACACACAAACACACACACACACAACACACACACACACAACACACAACACACAACACACAACACACACAACACACACACACACAACACACACACACACAACACACACAACACACACAACCACACACACACACACACGCACACACACACACACACACACACACACACAACACACACACACAACACACAACACACAACACACAACACACAACACACACACACACACACAACACACAACACACACACACAACACACAACACACACACACAACACACAACACACAACACACAACACACAACACACAACACACAACACACACACACAACACACAACACACAACACACAACACACAACACACAACACACAACACACAACACACAACACACAACACACAACACACAACACACAACACACAACACACAACACACAACACACAACACACAACACACAACACACAACACACACACACACCATCGCGATCAATTTGGAATACAGTCGGGGCGCTGAAGAAGGAACCCTCTTCGTTGGGGAGGGGCTCGGTGTTCCTTGATTGTTTCAAAGTTTGCCTCGGGTTTTCCTGAGGTTTTCCATAGGAAATCATTGTTTAACTTATGGGAACAAAAAGGGCCTCGTGCCTTATTTTGGGTTCCTTAGGTCAACGCCTCGACTGTAGCTCCCCCCTCCCAGCCGCGGCCCCAGCCACGGCCACAGCCGCGGCCGCAGCCGAGAGAGGAAAAACCACCGCGAAACAATCGCAGCATACTGCACGTCTGCAGGCAGCCGCCCCCGGCGGCTTCGCGCCCCGTGCAGCACGGGGCGCGGAGCGCGCAGCCAGTGGCGACCCGCGTCGGCGCAGAGCTCGCGGCCAGCCCCGGGTCGAGCTGGCTTCCAGCCCCCCCTGCTTGGCATCGCTCGGACGTGTGCATTTTTCCTTCGGCGAGGACCATCGAGGAGCATCCCTGATCATTTGGCGAAAAAAACCACGCACGAAACCGAACAAAAACACAGGGAATGGTCGTCCGAGCGATGGCGAGCCTGGGCCTTCGTGGGCCCTGGAGACGACGGGGCCGTTTTTTTACCGCTTCCGTTGTGCAGTTTTTGTTGCCGGTTCCGACGCCGTTATTTTACCGGTTCCGTCGCCGTTCTTTTACGGGTTCCCGCTCCGGTTCCAATCCTGGAGCCGTTTTTGTTGCCGTTTCCGGCTGCCTTTTTTTTGCAGTTTCCATTTTCAAGGGACATTTTTTCGGAAACGGTGAAAAACGGCCCTGCCGCTTCCGGGGCCCACTAAGCCCTGGCACGCCATCGACACTGCTGTGACGTCGGGCATGTCCCTCCACAGGAGGAATCTGCAAGAATGGCCATCAAACAGCGGCAGACGATGATGCTTCAACTGCGTGTGTGGCTATCTTCCGATCTACGTTCTGACTATACTCTTCACTTATCGTCCAGAATCCGCTTGCAGGAGAACGCGTGCCCGACCACACACTACCGCAGAGATCCGATGTCGTGATTTTTTCAATACGGGGTCTCCAGAAGTCTCAACCCCTTTCCAAGGACCGGTTTTGCATCCCGAGCCGTTTTTTGACGGCCCCGAGGCCCGGTGAGGGCTCCTCGAGGCCGAAAACCGCGAACAACCTCCGTCTTTGTTTTTTTTTGCAATGCCGTTGGCTCTCTGGGACTGGCAGACCGTGCGCGGGGCGCGCGTGCTCGCCCCTGGCTGGCGAGCTCGCCTGCCGGCTCTCGCTGGCGGGCGCGCCGCTGCTATCTCTCGGGAGGGGGCCTGCGCGGTGCCGGCGACCGCCCGGGGCGGAGCTCGCAGGGCCGCGCTGCGCGCTCGGCACCGCGCAGCTTCCCGAGGGCCTCCCCACTCTCAGAGCGTGAATTACCTACCCCGCTTTCGCTTCCAGGCAAAACCAAGTCATACCACGCGCCTCCTCGTCAAGCGGCCTGACCATTGCAGTCTCCAAGTCATACCACGCGCCTCCAAGTCATACCACGCGCCTCCAAGTCATACCAGGGCCGCGCTGCGCTCTCCGCACCGCGCAGCTCTCCGAGGGCCCCCCCACTCGGAGGGCTCCGCGCCGGGCGCCCGCGGCCGCGCGTGCCGCCCGGCAGTGCCCGTCAGGAGGCAGCGGGCCGCGGTGCGCGCAGGGGGTGCGTCAGGGGGGGAAGAACACGCACAGACACAATTCGTCGTCGACTCCCCAGGAGATGTGGGAAAGTATGGGAAGTGGGGGGGAAGACAGAGACCCAGAAAATATATTGGGAAATATGGGGAATCTGGCTATTTGTGTCCATTCATTGGTGTGTCCCAGTTCCCCTTCAGTACGGCCGGACCGAGGTAGAAGGTCGAGGTTGGTTCGGGGAGAGGGTGCCCTAATGGTCTTCGTGCCTGCTGGATGTTTTTTGTGCGTCCAGGGGAGGGTACCCTTGGATGTTCTGTGTGTTTTGGCCAGCGAGGGGGCGGAGGGTCTCATAATCTTGAATCGGCGGCGAGCGAGGGGGGGAAGTGAGAAGGGGCGGGCCTCCTCAGAAGGCTCGGAAGTCCCCCGGCCTTCTGCGATGTGTTCCAGGCCTTCCCCGGAGACGCAGACAGCTTCTCGGTAGGCGCGAGGGCTTCCGAGAGGTCACGCCGCCTTCCGAGAGGGCCTCCTCCCTCTCGCTTCCCGCCCCTCGCTCGCCGCCGGTCGAAGGGTGCTCTCTTCTGTCCTCCCGGCCGTTCTGCACGCCCGAAATGGGTACGGAAAGAATGAAAATCATGCCCAACAGCAGTTCCTGGTCATTTTGCACAGGGCTCGCTGTCCGCGCCGCCGCGGCCCGTGTCCATTCGAGACAGGAGGCCGCCTGCCCAACAGCGGCCGCTGTTGGTTTGGGACCCAATTTTTGCTGTTGGGCATTGTGCCCATGTTTTCGGTACCCATTTCGGGCGTCCAGAGCCGTATCTCGGGGGCGGTCGCTCTGCGGGGGCGGCCAAGAGGTGGGCGAGGACTAGGGGAGGGGGCGGATAGCATGGCTGGGGCCATGCTATCTCCCCAGGTTTCCACGGCGCCTCTTCTCATCTCAGCACGTCCCCGCCCCCCCCCCCCTGGGCCGCGCACGTGCCGCCGGCCATGACTTGCGCCCCCCCCGCCCCCCCTCGTGGACGCCCCCTCTTGGCTGAAGTCGGGCCTGGCCCTCTACAGGGGGGATCTTCAAAAATAGCTTACATCAAAAAATCGTCGGGAGTCGATGGTTCGATTCTTTTCTGTGCATTTCGGATTTTTTTTGCTTAAGCATTTCAAGATAAAATATTTTAATATATATATATATATATATATATATATATGTACAGATATATATGTGTATATATATATATATATACATACGTATTTATACATACATATATATGTATATATATATGTGTGTGTGTGTGTTAAAAATGAAAAATCCGTCCAAAATCCGCCTGCAGGTGGACATGCCCCACCTGCCTCTGGGCCGCCCCCCGAGCTCCGCGGGCGCGGCCCCCCCTCCTCCCGCGGGCGGCCCGCCGCGCGGGGGGCCCGCGCCTCCGCCCCAAAAGGGGTGCCGCGCGGGCTGCCCCCCCCCTCGCGCGGCGGGCGCCGCCGAGACGAGGCTCCGCGGGCCGGCCGTGGCCTGCAGTCGGGCCTACAGGGGGACTTTAGAACGAAGTAGTCAAAAAGTGTTCAAACATAGTCAACGCATGTCCCAAAGTACTAATTTCTGGGCTACTTATCGAACATATTCCACGCGTGTCCCAAAATATAAAAAAACTGCAAGTCCCAAGATGTCAAGAATAGTCCTCAGGCTATGTTTTGGCTTCGGTCGGGCCTGTCCCTCGAGCAGTGGCGAAGCGTCCTGGCTCGCCTATAGCCCTACCATGAAGGGCGTAAAAAACGCCCCTACCCTG